GATCCGCGTGGGACGTACCTCCGCTGGGCCTCCCAGCAGCCCACGAAAGTGGCGACGGTCGCGCAGATCGCAAGCCACCCAGGGGGCGGCCATGTACCGAGGTGGTCCGCGTGGGGCGCACCTCCGCTGGGCCTCCCAGGAGCCCACGAAAGTGGCGACGGTCGGGCAGATCGCAAGCCACCCAGGGGGCGGCGAGGTCCCGAGGTGGTCCGCGTATGACGCACCTCCGCTGGGCCTCCCAGCAGCCCACGAAAGTGGCGACGGTCGCGCAGATCGCAAGCCCCCCAGGGGGCGGCGAGGTCCCGAGGTGGTCCGCGTCTGACGCACCTCCGCTGGGCCTCCCAGCAGCCCACGAAAGTGGCGACAGCTGCGCAAATCGCAAGCCCCCCAGGGGGGCGGCGAGGTCCCGGTGATCCGCGTGAGACGCACCTCCGCTGGGCCTCCCAGGAGCCCACGAAAGTGGCGACCGTTGCGCAGATCGGAAAGTGCCGACAGTTTCGCATATCGCAGCCACGCAGGGCACCGCGAGCTAGAGTGGTGATCTGCGTATGACGTCATTCCGCTGGGTCCCCCAGGAGGCCACGAAAGTGGCGACGGTTGCGCAGATCGCAGCCCCCCCCCCCCAGCGATCGCAACCCCTAGGCAAGGCCACCCAACAGACAAGAAGGCGAGGCAGGAATCGGGAACCAGACGGCAGGAGAGCACAGAAGGCAGGAGCGAGGAGGCGAGAGAAGGAGGGTGGAGACCACGCTGCGCTATTCAAAACGAGAACCCAACACAGGAGGGTTGGGAACAATACAAAAGGCACTCGGCCTCCACATTTGGAGCATGCGCGGCCCACCACCACCCCCACCACCCCCACCACCACCATCTCTTTTAAAAACAAAACAAAATACACGTTGGGGCAAAGTATTGAGCCAAGTTCGTGAGGCCCGCGAGCACATCGTAGTGTTCCCAACCTTGGTTGAGCATTCGTTTTGAATGCAGCACTGCTCGCGCGTCCTTCCTCCCGTCCCCTCCCTCATCCGGCCTTCTCTTTGCCGTCGCTGGGGGGCTGCGATCTGCGAAACTGTCGCCACTTTCGAGGGCTGCTGGTGGGTCCAGCAGAATGAGGCACCGCGCGGATCTGAGCGGGACCTCCCCGTCGCTGGGGGGCCGCGATCTGCAAAACTGTCGCCACTTTCGAAGGCTGCTGGTGGGTCCAGCGGAGTGAAGCACCGCGCGGATCTGAGCGGGACCTCCCCATCCCTGGGGGGCCGCGATCTGCGAAACTGTCGCCACTTTCGAAGGCTGCTGGTGGGTCCAGCGGAGCGAAGCACCGCGCGGATCCGAGCGGGACCTCCCCGTCCCTGGGGGGCTGCGATCTGCGAAACTGTCGCCATTTTCGAGTCGCCACTTTCGACGGCTGCTGGCGGGTCCAGCGGAGAGAGGCACCGCACGGATCCGAGCGGGACCTCCCCGTCCCTGGGTGGGCTGCGATCTGCGATAAATGTCGCCACTTTCGAGGGCTGCTGGTGGGTCCAGCAGAATGAAGCACCGCGCGGATCTGAGCGGGACCTCCCCGACCATGGGGGGCCGCGATCTGCGAAACTGTTGCCAATTTCGAAGGCTGTTGGTGGGTCCAGCGGAGTGAAGCACCGCGCGGATCTGAGCAGGACCCCCCCGTCCCTAGGGGGCTGCGATCTGCGAAACTGTCGCCACTTTCGAAGACTGCTGGTGGGTCCAGCGGAAAAAGGGGGGCTGCGACCTGCGAAAACGTCGCCACTTTCGACGGCTGCTGGTGGATCCAGCGGAGTGATGCACCGCGCGGATCTGAGCGGGACCTCCCCGTCCTTGGGGGGCTGCGATCTGCGAAACTGTCGCCACTTTCGAGGCAGCTGGTGGGTCCAGCGGAGAGAGGCACCGCACGGATCCGAGCGGGAACTCCCCGTCCCTGGGGGGCTGCGATCTGCGAAACTGTCGCCATTTTCGAGTCGCCATTTTCGACGGCTGCTGGCGGGTCCAGCGGAGAGAGGCACCGCACGGATCCGAGCGGGACCTCCCCGTCCCTGGGTGGGCTGCGATCTGCGATAAATGTCGCCACTTTCGAGGGCTGCTGGTGGGTCCAGCAGAATGAAGCACCGCGCGGATCTGAGCGGGACCTCCCCGACCATGGGGGGCCGCGATCTGCGAAACTGTTGCCAATTTCGAAGGCTGTTGGTGGGTCCAGCGGAGTGAAGCACCGCGCGGATCTGAGCAGGACCCCCCCGTCCCTAGGGGGCTGCGATCTGCGAAACTGTCGCCACTTTCGAAGACTGCTGGTGGGTCCAGCGGAAAAAGGGGGGCTGCGACCTGCGAAAACGTCGCCACTTTCGACGGCTGCTGGTGGATGCAGCGGAGTGAAGCACCGCGCGGATCTGAGCGGGACCTCCCCGTCCTTGGGGGGCTGCGATCTGCGAAACTGTCGCCACTTTCGAGGCAGCTGGTGGGTCTAGCGGGGAGAGGCACCGCACGGATCCGAGCGGGACCTCCCCGTCCCTAGGAGGCCGCGATCTGCGAAACTATCGCCACTTTCGAGGGCTGCTGGTGGGTCCAGCAGAATGAGGCACCGCGCGGATCTGAGCGGGACCTCCCCGACCCTGGGGGGCTCCGATCTGCAATAAATGTCGCCACTTTCGAGGGCTGCTGGTGGGTCCAGCGGGGTGACGCACCGCGCGGATCTGAGCGGACCTCCCCGTCCCTGGGAGGCTGCGATCTGCGAAACTGTCGCCACTTTCGAAGGCTGCTAGTGGGTCCAGCGGAATGAGGCACCGCGCGAATCTGAGCGGGACCTCCCCGTCCCTGGGGGTGCTGCGATCTGCGAAATTGTCGCCACTTTCTAAGGCTGCCGGTGGGCTCGCCACTTTCGAAGGCTGCTGGTGGGTCCAGCGGGGTGAAGCACTGCGCAGACCTGAGCAGGGCCTCGCCGTCCTTGGGGGCCGTTTCATGTTGTTGATGCCCATCCGACGTCTCCTTTTGGACCTTGCGTCTTCTTTAGTGGCACAGGGGTTCACTTAGTCACTCATCGTGTTTCCGTGGATTGGGGACCTGTGAACCTTCCGAATACCGCTCGCAGAAATATACGCGTCCATGTCACGTCGCCGCCTTCTCTTCAAATCTCCCACGCTACCCATGCCCCGCATTGCGCGTTGGTTGGGTACGTCGCCTGGGTAATTTTTGACAGGGACGGCGGAAGTGTGTCAGCATATTGCCAGCTGCCACAGGGGTACCATCCCTAACAAATTAACCTGGCGAAAGACCCGACCATACGCATTTGTGAATACCGCGTTGTAGGTACAGCTGCCGGTGGAGCTCCCTATGGGGCCACGAACCGTGTAAGGGGTGTGCCGACATGGGGCGGCGGTGCCATGCGGACCCTGCCATTGGGGCCTTCGGTGGAACCCCCTATGGGGCCACGAACCGTGTGAAGGTGCGCCCATGCGGGCACTGGGGCCTTCGGTGGAGCTCCCTATAGGGCCACGAACCGTGTGAGGGGTGTGCCGAAATGGAGCAGCGGTGCCATGCGGACCCTGCCACCAGGGATTTCGGTGGAACTCTCTATGGGGCCACGAACCGTGTGCGGGGTGTGCCGAAATGTGGCGGCGGTGCCATGCGGACTCTGCCACTGGCGCCTTCGGTGGAGCTCCCTATTGGGGGGCACGAGCCGTCTGAAGGGTGTGCCGAAATGGGGCACAGGTGCCATGCGGACCCTGCCACTGGCGCCTTCGGTGGAACTCCCTATGGGCCAAGAACCATTTGAAAGGTATCCGAAATGGGGCGGCGGTGCCATGCGGGCCCTGCCTCTGACGCCATCGGTGGAGCTCCCTATGGGGCCACGAACCGTGTAGAGGGTGTCCGAAATGGGGCGGCGGTGCCATGCGGACCCTGCCGATGGGGCCTTCGGTGGAGCTCCCTATGAGGCCACGAACCGTTTGAGGGGTGTGCCGAAATGGAGCGGCGGTGCCATGCGGACCCTGCCTCTGGGGCCTTCGGTGGAGCTCCCTATGAGGCCACGTACCGTGTGAGGGGTGCGCCGAAACGGAGCGGTGGTGCCATGCGGACCCTGCCACTGGGGCCTTCGGTGGAGCTCCCTATGGCCCCACGAACCGTGTAGAGGGTGTCCGAAATGGGGCGGCGGTGCCATGCGGGCCCTGCCTCTGGGGACTTCGGTGGAGCTCCCTATGGGGCCACGAACTGTGGTGTGCCGAAATGGGGCGGCGGTGCCATGCGTACCCTGCCACTGGGGCCTTCGGTGGAGCTCCCTATGGTGCCACGAACCGTGTAGAGGGGTGCGCCGAAATGGAGCGCCGCTGCCATGCGGACCCTGCCGATGGGGCCTTCGGTGGAGCTCCCTATGGGGCCACGAACCGTGTAGAGGGTGTCCGAAATGTGGCGGCTGTGCTATGCGGACCCTGCTTCTGGGGCCTTCGGTGGAGCTCCCTATGGCCCCACGAACCGTGTGAGGGGTGTGCCGAAATGGAGCGGCGGTACCATGCGGACCCTGCCACTGGGGCCTTCGGTGGAGCTCCCTACGTGGCCACGAACCGTGTAGACGGTGTCCGAAATGGGGCGGCTGTGCCATGCGGACCCTGCCTCTGGTGCCTTCGGTGGCGCTCCCTATGGGGCCACGAGCCGTGTGAGGGGTGTGCCGAAATGGGGCGGCGGTGACATGTGGACCCTGCCGCTGGGGCCTTCGGTGGAGCTCCCTATGGGGCCACGAACCGTGTAGAGGGTGTCCGAAATGTGACGGCTGTGCTATGCGGACCCTGCCGATGGGGCCTTCGGTGGAGCTCCCTATGGGGCCACGAACCGTGTGAGGGGTGTGCCGAAACGGGGCGGCGTTGCCAGGCGGACCCTGCCACTGGGTCCTTCGGTGGAGCTCCATATGGGGCCACGCACTGTGTAGATTTCGAGGAAAATATCTTGAATCGGTCAAAAAAACTTCCGTCGAGATTTTGTTTTGCCAACTCGCCGCTTCGCTCTTAGGGAAGCTCTACGAGTCACGTTGTTCGTCAGGAGCCCCCTTATGTGGCCACGAACCGTGTGATGGGTGTGCCGAAATGGGGCGGCGGAGCCATGCGGACCCTGCCACTGGGGCCTTCGGTGGAGCTCCCTATGAGGCCACGAAGCGCGTGAGGGGTGTGCCGAAATGGGCGTGCGGAGAACAGATGCAGGGAGGAGAGGAGAAGCACGGATAGGAGATGAGGGGGAGGCGGCAGCGGGAGGAGAAGTGAACTTGGGGCGCTGCCTCTTCAAAACGTGGACCCAACACCACAGGATAGCTGGGAAAGACAATACAAAATGCACTCGCGGCGAAACTTCGATCATGCGCGGCCACCCCGCGATCATTGTCAAACGGCGGGGGTGGTAGCGTATCGCCTGCTGCGCGCAAGCCCATCAGACACAATGGTGGGCATTGGTCTTCGACAAGGATGGTGGGAGCCGGCATGTTTCCCGCTGTGTGCTGTCGCGAGGCAGGCGCGCCTGACACACTCTGCACGCGCCCCGAACGTGCCGCACCTGGCGCGGCTGGAGTATGCGGCACACTTGGCGCACGCGGAACACGTGGCGCATCTGGCGCACCAGTCGTGCATGGCAGGCTCGGGCCCCAGGGGTGTCTGGCGCGCGTGGCGCGCCTGGCACGCGTGGCACACCTCGCCCCAGCGTCGCGCACATGGGGTCGGTTTTGGTTCCCAGTAGCTGTCCATCCGAAGACGACCGCTTAACCTGCTCAGGCTCGGGTGTTACCCATGTGTTGGGAGGGCGGGTGGGAGTGAGCTAGACGGCTTGCTATCCAGAGGGCGTCTTGATCACTGTTCCCTATTAATAAACACCCCCTCCCCCAGGCGACTGGGGGCCAACCAGGGACCATGACGACCCCCCCACCATCCCTTGCAAAAAAAAACCATACAAAACACACTCTGCCTCCAAATTCGGAACATGCGCAGCCAACCCGATGCGCCCCCCCCCAAAACAATACAGAATACACTTGGCGGCGGCGGCGGCTGCGGCGGCTGCGGCGGCGGTGGCGGCGGCTGCGGCGGCTGCGGCGGCGGCGGCGGCGGCGGCGGCGGTGGTGGCGGGGGGCGGCGGCGGCGGCGGCGGCGGCTGCGGCGGCGGCGGCGGCGGCGGTGGCGGCGGCAGCGGCTGCGGCGGCGGCGGTTTGGCAGCGGGGGGCGGCGGCGGCGGCGGCGGCGCGGCGGCGGCGGCGGCGGGCAGCGGCGGCGGCGGCGGCGGCGGCGGCGGCGGCGGCGGCGGCGGATTGGCCCCCAGTGGCTGCCCATCCAAAGACGACTGCTGAATATGCTGAGGCTCGGGCCAGACTCGGGTGCTACGTATGTGTTGGGAGGGCGGGTGGGAGTGAGCGAGACGGCTTGCGGGCGGGGAGGGGGTCTTGACTCCTCACCCTACCGCTTTCCCCTGGGTCTGGAGGGGGAGATTCGCGGGTCGTTGGAGCGTGCAAGATTGCCTATCTGTGATTGTGCACAGGTTTGGGCCCAACTCTGGCCTCCTGGGGGAGAGGGGAGGGCTACTTAAGCCCCCCTCCCCCGTCTTTGATCGATCTCCTCCAAGATGGCCCCAGTATGGCCCCCGAGGCTCCCAAGAGTTCCCCAAAAGGGCCCCGAGAGGCGCCTAGGAGGTCGCAAGAAGTCCCCACCGAAGAGATCCCCAAGAGGAGAGATCCCCAAGAGGCCCCAAGAGGCTCCCCCGAGGCACCCAAGACGCTTCAAGCGGCCCCCAGGACCGCCAGGAGGCTCCCAATACGCCCCAAGGGGCCTACAAGACTGTCAAGAGACATCCGAAGAGACTCCGAGAAGCATACAAGAGGCATCTGGCCTTTCTGCTCGTCCTCCTCCTCCTCCTCCTCCTCCTCCTCCTCCTCTCCTCCTCCTCCTCCTCATCATCATCATCATCATCATCATCATCATCATCATCATCATCATCATCATCATCATCATCATCATCATCATCATCATCATCATCATCATCATCATCATCATCATCATCATCATCATCATCATCATCATCATCAGCAGCATCAGCATCATCATCACCATCACCATCATCATCATCATCATCATCCTCATCCTCATCCTCATGTTCATGATGGTGTCCGTTTCGACCCACCCCTGGAATGTTTTGCTGAGGAGGCGAGAAGTACAATAAAATTGCTTCAAGGTTTGCTAAACTCAGTTTGCCGCCGAGCTCGGCTCGGCGGGGGACGGTGGGGGGGTCGCGATAATCTGTACCAGATTGGAGCCATATGGTACGGTTGCGGAGCAGGCCGTGCAGCACACGCGAGGGCAGGGGGGCCTTCACGGGCAACCAAAACACAGCCTACCGAGCCCACCCGTTTTGGAGGGCCGAGGGGAGCCAGGCCGGGAACGAGGCCCACCGGCGAAAAGGCCCCCCAACAAGCAGGCACGCCCCTGCGGGCTCCGAGGCTCCAAGGAAAATTCCACGATCCCACCCCAAACTGTCGGTGCACATCAACACTCATGCTCTACGATTATTATCCCATGATGGCGTCCGTTTCGACCCACCCCTGGAATGTTTTGCTGAGGAGGCGAGAAGTACAATAAAATTGCTTCAAGGCTTGCTAAACTCAGTTTGCCGCCGAGCTCTTCCCACCTCCGTTTGCGAGCTGTATGTGTCTCAACAGCTTGGTCCTTCACCCGGGGCACAAAATGTGCTCGGACCTTGATGAGTTGAGAAGGAACCTGGAACACAATCAAAATTGAAAGCAAGCCCCCCCAGGCCCGCCCTCGCAGTGTGCACCAGAAAACTCCTAAATCTTCGGTGACCACCCTAGACTCCGAACAAAACGAGCTGCAAAACACTCTTAACTGCCATATATACAGCACGAAGTAGCCTACGGGCAACGTTGATCCAGGCACCTGGGAGCCTGGTAACTTGAATTTCACGATCAGTCATGGACATGTAGCGGATCTCGGGGAGTGGGAGCCCTGCCAGGGTGGAGTTGATGTGAGCCACGACTGTATATCTCTCTGAGCTGATGTCGCAGTCGAGGCTGCTCCAGACTGGGTTGCTCCACTGAACCTTGAAGTTTACGATCCGCTCGACCATGTGGACTCCGTAGAACCCGGACGGCAGCAGGTCAAGTGTCATGTGCAGCTCGCGGCATTGACTTGGCCAGATCATCATCTGCCATCTCTCTGACATGTGAGGTATGGTCACCGAAGCTTCAGAGATCGCGGCGGTGACCTGCTCGGCTCCTGGCGGGCGAGGCTCGCCTGTCAGGAACTCGCGCTCGATCCAGGCTTGCAGGATCTCGGGGTCGTCCGCTAGCCGCTCGGCGTGGCGCTGGCGGACGTGCAGGTTGGTAATGTCGACCCCGCGCCAGGCTTCCTGCAGGAGGCTCGCCGAGCTGCGGGACGACGTCACGGCGAAGTCGGACACGCCCTGTGCTGCCGTGATGACTGCCCCGAGGCTGCTGTCGACCACTTTGCCAGCCGAGACGGATACGCTGGCCACGACGCCCATCATGGTCCCGAGGTGGGCGAGCGGCCCGGCCACGTAGCTCCACCCGATCAGCATCGCGGCGACCGTCGCCCACGTCACTCCTCGAGTAGTCGAGCGTCCGCACCACCTTGCGATGAGCCGGGCCGCGCGCAGCAGCGACCAGCTGCTCCAGCGCGCGCGCCTTTGCCCCGCGGCCGCGCCCGCTGCCAGCGGCTGCGCCACCAGCGGCTGCGGGGGCCTCAGTGCCGCCACGCCTGGGGCCGCCGGCGCTGGCGGCTCGGCCTCGGCCGCGCCCGCGCCCGCCGCTGCATCCCCCGGCTGCTGCGGACCCGCCAGCAGCCCATCCACCAGTGCGCCCAGCGCTGGCGCAGGCGGCTGGGCCGGGGCCCGCGGCGCCGGAGAGGCCACCCGGCGGCCCCCCGCCAGCGGCGCTGGAGGGACTCCCTCTGTCGGCAGCACCCAGGCGCCGTCCTGGCCCTTGCGCCAACCCGCTGGCGGCATGCTGGAGGCCCTCCCCCTCGCCGAAGATGCCCTCCGGGAAGTAGTGGGGCAGCTTCTCGGCCGCCTCGCGGATGAGCGGTGCGATTCCTCGCTGCTCAGCCTGCGCCAGGACCCGGGAGGCGGTGACGACGTCCACGTAGATGCGGAGGCTGGACTCGGTGAGCCACCGTCCTGCCTCCTTGATGTCCTGGAAGGGGACACCACGAGCCACGGAATCGCTGGCGAAACCTGCGCGCGCCGAGTGTGGCGCCCAGTGAATGTCGAGGCCCAAGGCTGCTTCAAACTGCTTGAGCCGATGCCTGTAGTCGACAAGCGAGTAGGGAAAGAGGAGCCCCTCGGGCGGCGTTCCCAAGACTACTCGGTGCAAGAGGTTCTCCAGTACTCCGCCCTGCTCCAGAATAATGGCGAACTGCATCCTTTTGGCCTTTGTCCCCGACGTGGCTCCCAAGTTGATAACCCAATTTGGCTGCAGATCAGGCCCCCCTCTCGACGATGGCAAGGATATGTCTTTTGCTCTGAGCTGAAGCATCTCCGACGGGCGCAGGCCGCGGTCCACCTGCAGTAGCAAGCCTACGCCCAGCCGCGGCACGCCCCAGCAGGAGAAATAGATAGCGGCCAGGTTAGCCGGCGCGCGGCCGAGCGGAGGCGCGTGCTTCACCTCGGCCGACACTCGCCATGCGTCAATCACCGAGTGGGACCAAGTCAGCTTCCTCCTCAGGCGTGGGAAGACAAACTCCACTGCCGCGACGGCGTACTCGAAATTGCACTTGGTCATCTGCATGTCGTTCTTGTATTCGACAAGCAGGTCGCCCCACTGCTCGGGCCCGTCGGGGACAAAACCGTGCTCGTCCAGGTAGGTCACGAACTTCATAGCCGCCGCCCTGTAGGCTGCCAAGGTGTGCGGCTTTACCTTCTCAACAGAAGTGCTGTCCAGCTTCCTCGGCCCCGACATGAGGTAGGCCGCGGAGCTCAGCACGAGTCAGGCACCTCGATATCTTATCAGCAGGCTGCCTGAGCGTCTCCACCCACGGAATCAGAATCTTCGTACGAGATGCCATCCCTGCTGCGGTCTTCTGACGCAACAGGTGGTTCAACATGTGCGCCGGGGACCTCCCCTTGCATACCGCACCCGAAACTGGCTGGTTGTCCTCCAGGATCGGCAGCACGGTGCGGTGTAGGGCAGGGGTGGCGGCCGCCAGTCTGCTGATCTTCACGACGCAGCGCCCCTCGCCCAGCGTGATGTGGTCGGCCGCCCGCCACCTCCCCGCTCCTACGATCGTCCAGTCCTCGTCGGGCTTGAACACTCGATCGGGGAGGAGGCTGAAGGGCTTCGTCCGACGGATGACCTGCTCGGGACGCCGCAATCCAGTAAGCTCGCCGTCCAGTCGCGCCACGGTGTAGCCCAAGTTGCCGCCCGTGTCGATGAAGTCCTTCGCGATGTCCTCGCTCATGTCTGTCGCCAGGATGCCCCAACCGCCGTCGTCCTCCACGTTGGCGCCCATGGCGTCCGCCGCGAAATACACGGGGGCTGGCGGGGCTCCCAGGTCGGCGTACATCGGCGGGACTACTCGAGCCATAGCCCGCAGCTCCCTGCGGACGGTCGCCCAGGTGCACACCCTCTGGTGCGGGTGCCTCTCCAGGAGCCTGAAGACGGCACTGGGTATGCAGAGCAGCTCCCTCCGAAGTAGTGCGCCCCAGATCCACACCCCCAAGAGCGATCGAAGCTCCTCGGTGTGGAGGGAGCGGGTGGCGCCCATCGCCTCCAGCTGCTGCACCAGCTCTCGCGCCCTCTTCGGGGGCAAGCGTAGCTGCGCCGGACGCGCCTGTGGTGCGTAGCCCAGCACCTTCTGCATGTCGCTGGCCTCCGTGCGGTCGGTGACCACGAAGCCGGCCTCGGCCAGGGCATCCGCCAGCTGGTGCATCTTCCCAGAGGCCCGTGGGCCACAGCCGATGCCACCGGCCATCGCCACCCCGTCGTCGACGTGCAGGTAGAAGGCCATCTGCGGCCCGTCCAGCACCAGCCCACGACCGCGAAGCACATCCTCGTTCCGCACGGCTACCGCTGGCGTCGTAGTGCTCCGCGAGCTCCAGGCGGTGACCGACCTGTCGGCCTCCGGCGGCCTTCGCCACCCGGTGCCGCCCAAGCCGGTCTGCTCGAAGATGGCCAGGGTCTGAACAATCAAGGTGCCCAGCGTTTCGCACATCCCCTCGGGGTACTGGGCCAGCGGGCTCGTGCGGAAGGTGCCGTCGGCCAGCTTGCCCTCGGCCGTCTCGTGGGCATGGGACCCGTCACACCGCAGCTCGTTCAGGTCCTCCAGCCCCTGCAACGTGCCGCTCAGGCACGTGGGCTTCTTCGTCCGTCCGCCCAGCATGCATTGGTCCAAGCACGCTCTCCGCGACGAGCGCCTCGTCTCGAAATCCAGCATCTCAGTCGTGTTCCAGATGGATGGGTAGGGCGCATGCCCTGGGTCCTCCGGGTGCTCGATGAGGAAGGCGCCGCCACTCTGGCCGCACGCCTCGCAGAGCGCCAACGAGTTAAGCGTCAAGGTGTTACTCTCCGCGACCCTAGCGGCCTCCCAGTCCCTGAGGCCTGACAGCCCCCAGGGGCACCGCCGCGAGCGCACCGGCGGCGGCCCGGGTCGGCGACGATTGTAGCGTGCCCGCGACCAGGTCGAACAGGGCGGACCGCCCAGTACGATGTCCACCCAGCCGCCCTCGCACAGCTCCATCAAGGCGGAGAAAATGGAGGGGTTGGCCAGGTCCCACCGCGGGTCGTCCAGGAGATCGGCGGAAAGGAAGAGCACCCTCAAGCTCCGCTCCTTCGCCAGCCTCTCTACCACCTCCTGCACGTCACCACGCCGCCGACGGCCAGCGAAGAGATGCATCACCACCATCACACGCTCGTCATCCCTCTTCGCCCGCCACACTGTCTCCAGCCACTCCGCCACGCTGTAGCCCCTCGGGCTAGGCGGCGCAGCCCGGCAGCTGGACTGCTGCCCTAGCCAGTCGTCGTCGTAGCGGTGCTGCTGAGCGTCCTCAGGATCGGCATCCACGCGGCTGCCAGCCTCCAGCCCCCCGTCCTCGGGCGGCGAGGTGCGTGGCGCACAGCAGGCCGCGCCGTCGGCGGGGGCCGCGGCGCCCGCGAGCGCCCCCAAGCGTGCGCCCACGCCCAGCAGCGCCCTGCCGATGATCGCCATGTTGACCGTCATGAGCAGGTGCACGGAGTGCGAGCCGCCCATGGCCAAGCGATGGTAGCAGGGGGCTATCCAGCCCGTCGGCCCCACCATGTCGCGCAGACGCTGGCTGAGCTTACCCCACACCCAGCAGGCGCGGATCGGCGGGCATGCCTGCCACCTGGCCATCCAAGCGAGGACGCGGAGGCGGGTGAAGGCGTTGTCCTCGTCGAACGCAGCCACGCCCCACTCGTCCGTCGGGACGCACATGGAGGCGATGGCCGCCCCGCCGTGCATCCCGTGGTCGCCGCGCTGGCGGGGGTCCGCCCACACGTAGTTACTGGCACACATCATCAGGACCTTCCGCTGCTTGGCGGGGTCCTTCTTGGGTACACAACTAAACCCGCAGTAGGCCTGGACATCGTTGGGGTCCTCAAACGTCCACATGTCCTTCGGCAGATCGGCCCGCATCAGGTAGCGGGCGTACTCGGACGTCGAGCCCCCCACGAAAGCGAAGCGTTCCTCCAGCTCCTCGATGAGAACCCCTGACTTGCCGCTGTAGTCCAGGACGTTCCGCTCGTCCGAATAGTACTGGCGCTCGCCGTCGGGCAGCGCCTCCAGCAGGTCCACGACCATGTCGTCCGGAGGTTCTGCCACCGCCGCTGCGCACATCATCACGTGCTTGCTCACACCCTTGCGCTCTCCAGTGTAGGCGTCCTGCGGCCCTCTGTCGCAGGCAAGATCCGCCCCTTGACCGCCTGTCGGGGCAAGCCCCCGGCAGTCGCGCTCGTACCGCGCTGCGTCCTGTAACGCATACTGCTGCACGAGCTGCCAGGCCAGCATCATCTCGTTGTCGCTCGTCTCGCGCTGGCCCGTTGGTCTCGCCTCCAGGGATCCGCGGTCCATCCCGTTCATGAGCTCGATGAGCCCACAGGCCCGACGCCACACACGCATGCGTCGTGCCCAGCGCGTCCTCAACCTGCCTGAAGAGGAAGCTCCTTGTTGTGGCCGATGAGGTAGAGGTATGGGAAAGAACGACCTGGCCTCGGCCTCCTTCCACTGCAGGGCCCGCGTCAGCGAGCCTGTCAAACCCGTCACTGGCATTCTAGGCTGCACCCGCGGCGGCGGGGCACCTGCTCGGACCGAGGGAGGGTCGTAAACCCCTCGGTCCGCCAGTGACCGTCAGGCCTGGGGTTTGCCCCGGCCCGAGGGCTTACCCCCTCGGCCGCGGCCGCGCCCCCCGCCATCGCCACTTCGGCCTCGGCCGCCGCTGGCTACCTCGCTGCCGCCCCCCGCTCCACCTCCGTGGCCCCCGCCACGGCCGCTGCCTCGACCGTCGTGCTTGCTGGCGGCATGGACCCTCTCGTCGCGCTGGTGCTCCGCCTGGCTGTGGGTCGCGGCCTCGGTCACCAGCCATGTCGGAGCCAAGTCGGCGGCCGACCCGGGCGGGCGGACAGCCAACATGGCCGCCCCCCCAACCTTGTCCTTCGTCCTCATCTCGTAGACGTAGCTCGCCAGCCGCCTCAGGTGCAGCTCCAGCGCATCGTCGGACGCCAGACGGGTGAGCAGCTCGGACTGGGTCTCGCATCCGCCCAGCAAGTAGTCCACGTTGGTGGCGGCAGTCCAGAGGTCGGTCCAGACCGCCGTGTGTCGCTGGCCCGTCACCTCCTGCGACAGCCAGTCCCGCGCGCTGGCCGCCCCCGCGCCCCGCATGGTGCGGTAGATCTCCGGCGCCGCGCGCCGCAGCTCCGGCGGGAGGCTCAGGTTCCATCGACTGTCCTCCTGATGCTGCTGGGTCTGCGGGGCCACGGCCCACCCAGGGGAGGCGTGCATGCCCCAGCCGTGCGGCGCCGTGGGGGAGGCGAGCAGCGCGTCCAGCTCCTGCTGCAACGACCCTCCTGGCGGGGACTTCGCCCCCGCTCCCACGTAGCCGTGAGTCTGCAGCACTCGTCGGAGGTCAGGGTGCAGCCCCCTGGAGCCATCCACGGCCGCGATCCTCTCCCAGAAGTGCCAGGCCCAGTCCTCGTTGATGGCCGCCTGCGCCTGGAACTCGCGCAGCGTGGCGCCCACTATCTCCACCTCCCGTCCTAGCTTCACCGCATCTGCAGGAGCGTGGGGAACGTGGAAGCTGAGCCCCGATGCTGGCACGGCCACATCTGGTGTCGGCTGTGGCTGCTGCTGCTGCTGCTGCATAGCCGCTGTCTGGCTGAAGGGGCCCGGCACCTCGCACCCCTGGGCGAACGCCCGCAGCGCCGACAGGTCCTGCGAGCCAGGCTTCGCCGCAGCGGTACCCGCTCCTGCGCCCTCGGCGGGTGGGGCCCACGGCGGAGGCGGCAGTGCTCCAAGCCCCCGCGGGTGCAGCGGGCCCGCAGGTACCTCCGCGTCCTCGGCGGCGGTCCGGTCCAGGCCGTCCCCGCCGCGCCTCCGCGCCGCGGCGAAGGCCGAACGCCGCCGCCAGCGTGTCCACCAGGCGACCACCCGCTCGGGCACACGCCGTACCAGCAGGAAGGTCCCGAACAGCCCTACAGCCCCGCCTGCCAAGCGGTGTCGCACTGAGTCGGCCCCCAGCACCACCGCCAGGCTCGACAGGAAGAGACCTATGACTAGGTGCAGCACCCAGTCGACGGGCAGCGTGTTCCCGTCGGCGCCGACCGCTCGGGCCCAGATCCGATCCGCGATCGTCTCCCAGCCATCGGCGTCGGCCGCCACTCGTCTGATCCGACCCTCCGCCTGCGTGGCGAAAGTGGCGGCCTCTGTGAACCCCCAGAGGGCCTCGGCCATCTCGGAGCCCGGCACCTCGGGGTTCCCCGACGCCAGGCGGACGGCCACCGGGTCCAGCGCCGCCTCCAGGCGCCGTGCCTCGTCCCGCTTGGAACGGGGGGCTCGCCCTTCGTTCAGCGTCGACCTCACCTTCAGGACGAGCTCGGCGACGTCGTCGTCTGTGACGTCGGCACCCCCGCCCCGCAGCGCCTCGGTCCCCGACTTCTTGGCGTCTGCAGACACGGCCATCCAGCTCTGCCTGGCGTCCGCCGCGCCGCAGGCCCTCAGCGCCCAGCACACCAGCTCGCCGCGGCCTGCTGTTCCTGGGCAGCGCGCCGCGGCCTCGCACAATCTTCGATTCCACGGGTGGAGCCGCTGCTCCCGTCAGGGCGCCATGCCGCGCCCTGCTGCGAGGTGGGCTGGGCGCCCAGACCTCGCGATAATCTGTACCAGATTGGAGCCATATGGTACGGTTGCGGAGCAGGCCGTGCAGCACACGCGAGGGCAGGGGGGCCTTCACGGGCAACCAAAACACAGCCTACCGAGCCCACCCGTTTTGGAGGGCCGAGGGGAGCCAGGCCGGGAACGAGGCCCACCGGCGAAAAGGCCCCCCAACAAGCAGGCACGCCCCTGCGGGCTCCGAGGCTCCAAGGAAAATTCCACGATCCCACCCCAAACTGTCGGTGCACATCAACACTCATGCTCTACGATTATTATCCCATCATCCTCATCCTCATCCTCATCCTCATCCTCATCCTCATCCATCATCCATCATCATCATCATCATCATCATCATCATCATCATCATCATCATCATCATCATCATCATCATCATCATCATCATCATCATCATCATCATCATCATCATCATCATCATCCATCATCATCATCATCATCATCATCATCATCATCATCATCATCATCATCATCATCATCATCATCATCATCATCATCATCATCATCATCATCATCATCATCATCATCATCATCATCATCATCATCTCATCATCATCATCAGCATCATCATCATCAGCATCATCATCATCATCATCATCATCATCATCATCATCATCATCATCATCATCATCATCATCATCATCATCATCATCATCATCATCATCATCATCATCATCATCATCATCATCATCATCATCATCCGCCTATTTGTACTCCTCCTCCTCCTCCTCCTCCTTCTCCTCCTCCTCCTTCCTCCTTCTCTTCCCTCCTCCCTCCTCCCCCTCTCCCTCCTCCCTCCTCCTCCTCCTCCTCCTCCTTCTCCTCCTCCTCCTCCTCCTCGACAACTACATAATATGAATACTACTCTCCTCTCTCCCATGATGGCGTCCGGAAGATGTCCGGCCCCCTCTGCGTACTGCTTCCTTACACACAGGATTCCCGGGAAATTGGTTTTCGCTACGGTTTTGAAAAATTCTGCTCCCGCTGATGCGCTGGCCCCATTTCTGCGCCTCTGGTTGGTCCAAATCGTGCTCCCGCTGCAGCGCGGGCGTTTTCGGTGTTTCCAAAAAGGCCCCAACATCTGGAAAATGCCCCCCCTCCCCCCCGAAAAAAACATCGGATGTGATTAAGGACTCGGTGTCGATTCGCTGATTCTTCTCAACCATCCTGTGGTGTTGGGTCCTCGTTTTGAAGAGACGGTCTCTGCGTTCAGCTCCTTCCTCCCTCCTTCTCCCCCTCCTCCCTCCTCCCCCTCCTCCTTCCTCCCTGCGTTTCACCCACCCAGTACAGCAATTCGCGGCCCCATAGGGAACTCCACCGAAGGCGCCAGTGACAGGGTTCGCATGGCGGCCTCGGGCCATTTCGGCACACCCCTCACAAGGATCGCGGCCTCATAGAAGCTCCACCGAAGGCACCAGTGGCAGGGTTCGCATGGCGGCCTCGGGCCATTTCGGCGCACCCCTCACGAGGATCGTGGCCCCATAGGGAGCTCCACCGAAGGCACCAGTGGCAGGGTTCGCATGGCGGCCTCGGGCCATTTCGGCACACCCCTCACGAGGATCGTGGCCTCATAGGGAGCTCCACCGAAGGCACCAGTGGCAGGGTTCGCATGGCGGCCTCGGGCCATTTCGGCACTCCCCACACGAGGATGGTGGCCCCATAGGGAGCTCCACCGAAGGCGCCAGTGGCAGGGTTTGCACGGCGGCCTCGGGCCATTTCGGCACACCCCTCACGAGGATCGTGGCCCCATAGGAAACTCCACCGAAGGCGCCAGTGGCAGGGTTCGCCTGGCGGCCTCGGGCCAAGTCAACACACCCCTCACGAGGATCGTGGCCCCATAGGGAGCTCCACCGAAGGCCCCAGTGGCAGGGTTCGCATGGCGGCCTCGGGCCATTTCGGCACACCCCTCACGAGGATCGTGGCCCCATAGGGAGCTCCACCGAAGGCGCCAGTGGCAGGGTTCGCATGGCGGCCTCGGGCCATTTCGGCACACCTCTCCACGAGGATCGTGGCCCCATAGGGAGCTCCACCGAAGGCGCCAGTGGCAGGGTTCGCATGGCGGCCTCGGGCCATTTCGGCACACCCCTCACGAGGATCGTGGCCTCATAGGGAGCTCCACCGAAGGCACCAATGGTAGGGTTCGCATGGCGGCCTCGAGCCATTTCGGCACACTCCTCACGAGGATCGTGGCCCCATAGGGAGCTCCACCGAAGGCGCCAGTGGCAGGGTTCGCATGGCGGCCTCGAGCCAGGTCGGCACACTCCTCACGAGGATCGTGGCCCCATAGGGAGCTCCACCGAAGGCGCCAGTGGCAAGGTTCGCCTGGCGGCCCCGCCCCATTTCGGCGTACCCCTCACGAGGATGTGGACCCATGGGGAGCTCCACCGAAGGCGCCAATGAAAGGTTCGCCTGGCGGCCCCGCCCCATTTCGGCACACTCCTCACGAGGATCGTGGCCCCATAGGGAGCTCCACCGAAGGCGCCAGTGGCAGGGTTCGCATGGCGGCCTCGGGCCATTTCGGCACACCCCTCACGAAGATCGTGGCCCCATAGGGAGCTCCACCGAAGGCACCAGTGGCAGGGTTCGCATGGCGGCCCCGCCCAATTTCGGCACGCTCCTCACACGGTTCGTGACCACATAGGGAGCGCGGACGCAGATGGTATTCACAATTGCGGTATTCACAACTGCATATGGTTGGGTCCTTCGCCAGGCGAATTTGGTCCGCAGAAGCCCTCAGGATGTATCAAGCCGGAGCCCCGTTTCTGCTTTGAGAAGGCGATGTTGAAAGCAGAGCAAACGGGTGCTCTCAATCAGCCCCGCCTTGTGTGGAGCTTTTCGGGGATCCCAAGAAGCTAGACATGGAGCCACGAGTCCAGACCAGCCCAGACCTCTCGAAGACGATCCACTTACCCGCCAAGGAACCCGGCGCAATACCATGACGTGCTGTGCGGTGTTGTGTTCTGCGCCGCTTTGCGATGCCATGATTTGCGATGCAATGCTTTGTGATGCGATGCTTCACTGCGCAATGCCACGCCCTGCTATGGCATGCTACGCTCTGCCGTGCTCTTCTATGCCATGCCGTGCCGTGCTGTACCATGCATCGCGTACCCTCTCGCGACCATTGCCCTGCTCGGCATCCGACTGTGCGAATGGAGAGAATATCTACGCCATGGTAAGGGATGGGAGGGAGGTGTAGGACGTCAGATATGACGCAAGCACACCTAGCTTATCCCCCTCCCCCTCCCCCTCCCCCTCCTCCTCCTCCTCCTCCTCCTCCTCCTCCTCCTCCTCCGCCTCCTCCTCTTCCTCATCCTCCTTCTCCTCCGATCAATATTCCATCCTCCCCCTCTTGGGGTATGACGCCTTATCCTGCATTTTCTTACACTGCATGCTCCTCCACACCCCTGATCAAGGCAACTCGCCTGGGCATCGATTCTGTATGGGCTGGTGGGGGTACGCGAGACGTCTAGAATTGGCTGGGACCCGACACGCGGAGCCAAATCGCCAGGATCCAAATCCAAGTCACGCATCGCAGGCACTGGTCAGGGCATATAACCTCGACGCGGCGCTACATGCTGCATCATGTCGGCCTTGGATGGGCAGCAGTTATGCGCAGAGGAGGGACAAGTAGTGGGACCTCGCACACGCGTGTAAGGTCTATGGACATGTATGACAATTCGACGATGCGGATTTTGCCCAGGTCCTGCATTCATCCGTACTGCCTCGAACCCCCTTCACCCGAGCTCGTGCCGTGTAGTGGCTTCCGCTGGCCGCCATCGCCTCCGTTGCGTTGGCCTCCTTCGCCAAGCGATGGCCCCAGGACAATGGGAAGAGAAGAGTGAGGAAAAGGCAGAGTGTCGGCGCACCACAAGCTGCATTCGCCAAGTGTACATCAGACAAAATGCTTTCCACTCCAAGCGATTGGAACTGTGTTCACTGCGCCGTAGATTGCCAAACTTCTTACGCCACGAGTCATGGTTTGAAAGAATGAGAACCGCGCTCGAAGGCGCGTATCTCAGTTCGTTCACATGCCCTTGACAGTTGCCGCAATTCACTGCCAGCGCCCACAATGATATCAGACAGTGCAGCCCGCCCCCTGTGCTCGCCAGAACGCGCGGCTGCTCGTTAATCAGCACGTATATCACAAGCCTTTTCCTGCGACCACTTGGCATCCTAGTTCCAGTTTCTGACTTCACAAAGTATCCTGCAAGTTGGAGGCGGCCAGCCAAGGGGTCTGATCTGGATAAGCCCAGAGATCGGTCCCGAGGGGAGGACGAAGGCAAATTTGCTCAAAATCCGTAACGAAACCCCTGGCGGGATCGAAACAGACCAGTCTTTCGAGCCGCGTCCAGCCGTGGCGACGAGGGAGCCCCCTTCTCCTCCCCTTTCTGATGGCCAGAACCGGTGATGCCCCACATCAGCCCCCCAACAGGCTCCAACCTACAAGCATGGCCGTCCTCCCTCCCAGCTGAATCCCACCAGCCCTCTGGGCGCAGGTGGTCTAGTGCGCTTCCTTTTCCAACTTCCTTCCTTTCCCTGCTCGGGAGGTGTACCTCCCCCCCCCTCCGTGGGTCTGGACGGGCTCCCCCGCGAAGTGGCAGAAGGTCCTTGTTGGCCCAAGATGGCTCCGAGAGTGCTGTGGATATCCCAAGATGGCCTCCAAAATCGCCCAAGATACCTCAAGAAAGCTCAATATAGCCTCCGACACACATCCAAGAGGCCTCAAGACTGCCCCAAGACGGTTTCAACTGCCCTCCGAGCCCTCCAAAAACCACCCAAGAGGCCAACATCCTGCAAAATCCTATGGGAAAATCAATATGTTTGGCCGTTTCTCTGTTTCGCCTCCGATAGGTTCTTG